AGAGAGAGGATCAAGAGAGAAAGAATGGAATGACATCATGAGAAGTAACATGACTTACCCTCTTTGATGAAAAGGAGCATACATTGGGTACCCCATAAGAACAGTAACAGTATACCATAACCTAATGATAACAATAAACAATGTATCATGTAATAAGTAAAAGAAAATGCACGTAGACATGTACATGTACTGTACATGGATGCACATAGCCTTTGCTTTTCTCAAATTTGGCTCAGTTCTTTAAATTCTCGAATTCTTATAACTTGAAAATTATCAGCTCAAATTTTCTACATAGCTTAAGGACATCAATATGTATCAGAAAAAGTAATAAAAATTGGGGGTGATTTTGGAGCCATTTTTTGGAAGAAACATGGGCTATATAAACCTTGGGTATTTATCAAAAACTGGCCTATTTCTAAAAATGCTCATAACTCGAAAATTATTTGTCGGAAACGGTTCAAATTTTCTACACAGCATCAGGACATCAATATATATCAGGAAATGTTATAAAAATTGGGGGTGATTTCAGAGCCATTTTTTACAAAAAAGCATGGGCTATAGCCTTGGGTATTTATCAAAAATTGGCTTATTTTTAAAAATGCTCATAACTCGAAAATTATTTGTCGGAAATGGTTCAAATTTTCTACACAGCATAAGGACATCAATATATATCAGGAAATGTTATAAAAATTGGGGGTGATTTCAGAGCCATTTTTTACAAAAAAGCATGGGCTATAGCCTTGGGTATTTATCAAAAATTGGCTTATTTTTAAAAATGCTCATAACTCGAAAATTATTTGTCGGAAACGGTTCAAATTTTCTACACAGCATCAGGACATCAATATATATCAGGAAATGTTATAAAAATTGGGGGTGATTTCAGAGCCATTTTTTACAAAAAAGCATGGGCTATAGCCTTGGGTATTTATCAAAAATTGGCTTATTTTTAAAAATGCTCATAACTCGAAAATTATTTGTCGGAAATGGTTCAAATTTTCTACACAGCATAAGGACATCAATATGTATCAGGAAATGTAATAAAAATGAGGTGTGATTTAGGAGCCATTTTTTACAAAAAAGTATAGACTATAGCCTTGGGTATTTTAAAAAAAATTGGCCTATTTCTAAAAATGCTCATAACTCAAAAATATTAGTCGGAAAAAGCTCAAATTATTAACAAAAATAACAAAAATTAACAAAAATATTAGGTCACACACATATATTTAACCTATTTATTAAAAGACATTAATATTCTTACTCAGGAGGTAGCATAGCTTTCATCATCACAACTTCCTTTCTTACCACACCTCCCCTCACTCCACCCACTCCTCATCCTTACCTACACAACATCACATGACTATCATCAAAAGTCACATCATCTCTCACTTGTATGGTCACGAGGGGATCTTGAGGGACGAGGGAGAGGTTGGCCGTCACATGTGGTCTCCTGGTTCTTCAATACAAGAGATACTAGAGGACCAATACTGTTCCTTTCCGGAGGATGTCAGGTCTCATTCATTTAATTAAGAGGAGAACATCAAAGAGAAGATAATGAAGAGACTCAAACCTTCCTAACATATAGGAGAGACTATAATAGAAAGAGAGGGAGGGAGAGATATACATAGAGAAAGGAAAGAAGGAAAGGAATAGAATGAGGGGAGGGGGGAAAAGGAGGGGAAAAAAATAAAAAGAAGAAAGGAAAGAAAGAAAAGAAACAAGTAAGGAAATGAGAAAATGGAGAGAGAAATACATATGTACATGATGATAGGAAATGTTTCCTGTTTTTCTATCACTTTTCCTTCAAATTGTGTGTGCCACTGCTTAGGTACAGTTTTCATGGATTAGTAAAGTGTACGAATCAAGTTAGCAAATTAATAAGTTAACTACAATGAAGCAGCTAAAAGCAAGAAAAACAAAAAAAAAACATGCAGTACATGTACATGTATCATTAACTGAAAATGACTATAAATACACATGTACATGTACATGTATCAATTAATGGACAATGTTATGAAGACAAATTGAGGTAATACTGTCCATGCAGTATAGCTAATAGGAGGAGCACATGAAATAAAAGCTGAGATCCCTCCCTCTCTCTCTCTCTCTGATGTCCTTATGAGCCAAAAAGCAAAACTAAAATGACTTTTGTCAATTTATAAAATTTAATATTCGACACATAAGTACATGTATGCATGGAGAGAGATATACATGTACATATGGTAGAGAGTGGATACAATATTTACCTTGCAAATATTTTAGATAGTTTATCCAGTTTGATCACATTATTAGGTAGACATGTTAACTCATTGTACTGGACCTATAATAACAATAACACACAACATGTAAACATAATTATGAGTCTTTATACAAAAATAAACAACAAACTAAACCGTATAAACAAATCTACAACATTCAAGGGAGTTCTCTCAAAGCATGCAGTATACCATGCTATTACAATTTAATTCATACATACATGTACACTAAACATGTATTATAATGATATTTAAAATCTTATATTTTCATTATCACCTCAAGCGCTGACAATCAATTAAAGTTTTCAATATCTTCAGATATTTCTTTGATTTCGTTAGATGATAGATCCAGTCTAGTCAGTTCCACCTGGTCCCACCATCTCTCATCAACATCAAATGAAGCAGTACTACCATCAGGAGGATCAATATTGAGTCTCCACAGTTTAGGAGGAATAACACTAATGCCCCTGTAATTATACACATTCACCCACTAACTTTCATACATCCACATATTCATTAATGCGTCATAAAAATGAAAATCAAAAAATCATTTTTGGTGAATTAAAAAACATGCTACAAGTCTCACACAGCCTCCTACCTGTTTGACAGGTTCAGTGAACCGGTTTTACGAGCTTTTTTCAATAAGGATTCTGGTACAGTCCCCTCCTTACCTACCCCATCACTTTGACTAAGAGAATTGAAGAAGTTGGGATTTGGTTTGAGTCTAGTAGAACCACCAGGAGATTTTCTACTGGCACCACCACTGGAACTCATTTTATGAATTTTGGATAAATGGGTGTGGTCTTATGTTGCATAGTTTGGGTAGAGCTGGTATTTTGGAAGAATGGCATCTAAAAGTGAGGGCCACTATTCTCTTCTCTTTGTATCTCTTTCATTCATTCTTTGTCTCTCTTACTCTCTCACTTACTTTACTCCTCTGTATTCTGTCCTTATTCTAACTCATCACTATATTACTGTTACTCTGTTACTGGTACCTCTTGTTCTCTATAGACTATCAACCAGTGGAGAGAAGTAGACACTCCACAGTAAAGGTAGGAGACTACCTATATATGTGGGGTGGGTACGGGTCTAGAGTAGACTATGATGTGATGGAGGTGTATCACTTACCAACTGGTGCTTGGGACCAGAAACCTACTACTGGTACCCCACCACCAAGTACCTATGCCTATTCAACAGTAGCTATTGGGAAGGACATATATTATTTCGGTGGACGTGATGGTGTTAGTTATCATAACAGCTTACATTGTTTTAATGTGGATTCATTCAAGTGGAGGAAACTCTCTTCTTCTAGTTTTGATCATGGTCCAATGAAGAAGGCCTACAGTGGAATAGCATCAGCTCATTTTGACAGTGAAGACTATCTTATAATAACTGGAGGGCTGGCATACTCTTCTATCAATCCTCCAAAGCAACCTAATGCTCAGTATAATAATTCTTATGGTGAATTGAGATGTAATGAGATACATTATTACAGGATTTCGTCAGGTCAGTAATTCTCATCATTGATACACAATAGTTGATGAGTATTTCAACTGAATAATTTATATTAATGTACATAAAACAGATTGTTAATAATTAAGTGTGTTTGTTAGTGTGTCTCTGTGTGTCATGTGTTTGTGTGTGATGGTGACGTGTGTCTATATGTGACGTGTGTGTGTGTGTACTAATACATACATTATGATGTGTCTGTGTATGATAGTGTATATAATGTATGTGAGAATTTATGAATGTATGACGTGTGTATGTGACGTGTATCTATAATGTGCATGTTATGTGTGTGTGAGTATTATCATGTATCTGTGTGTGTGTGATGTTTGTATATGTACATGTATCTATACATAAGCTAATGTGACATGAGTATGTGAAGGTTTGTGTTATTTATTATCAAATTTAATAAAGTTGTGTATCACATGAGTCACAAATTACCCACATACGATGTTCCATGAGTTTTGTATAATTATTCATTAACAATCATAACTGACATGTACCAGAATAGATTAGTAATCTTGAAATAAGGAGACCCCCGGACCTCTCCTTCATGTGTACAGGTGTGGTGTGTGTATCCATACATGAGTGTATCTGTGTGTGTGTGTGTATCATGTGATAGTGATGTGTGTCTATGCATGATGTGTATGTATAAATAATAATGTACACACATATACACATACATATGTATGATGAATGTGTATAATGTATGTGTGTGTATGTGGTAAGTAAGTGTACATGAATATTTGTACATTATTATTAGATCAATGGATATCTCCTGTTGTTACTGGAGACAGACCACCTCCTATTTGTGACTTCACTCTAACACCAGTTACTAATAACACTGCGGTAATGTTCGGAGGCTTTACTGGTAATGGTGTCAGTAATAAACTGTATATGATAAGTTTCACTAAGACATCAGTGGTGAGTTAATACTGTAGGATGGGTAATTTTGATTGTAAATGTTGATTTCCATTAAATTTTCAATTGAAAGAAATTTATATTCTGTCAAAACTGCATTATTCTGACTAAACCCAGCTTACTGCTGATTTCTCCTTTTTTCATTATTCTTCCAGGATATATTAGAAGTACCTAATCCTGGAGGATCAGTACAATGGCCTGAGGGAAGATGGGGTCATTCCAGTGTACTGATTACCACTAGTTCAGGACCACACTTACTAGTGGTGGGTGGATATCTTGCCTATGATGTATGGTTACTGGACATTAACAAAAGAAAATGGAAAGAACTGGTAAGTATTATATTATGATGCTTGATAATGAAACATAAAGTGATTAACTAAATTTGTAACTCATGAGGTTTGTAATGTACATGTACATATTATGATACTCAGTGAAAACTACTAATGAATAATGCTGGTATTCAGTATGTGTGTGTGTGTGTTTTTAGTGTGAATGTGTGTTTGCGTCTTTTTGTGCTTTGTGTTTGTTTCTTTATCTAAATATGTGTGAATATACATGTGTCTGTGTGTGTGTGTGTAAAGATGGATTCACAATTGATAGAGTGTCAATGCTGGAATTAAAATAACTTCTATTATACATTGTGTACATTGTGTATGTACATACATGTATTTGTGTGCATGTGTGCATATGTTTTAATATGTGTATGTGTGTACTAACACGTACATCATGTGTACATGTAACATGTACATGTGTGTGTATGTGTGTGAGCAATTATGCATGCTTTACATGTAGCTTTATATGTGTATGCATGTATAGATGTACATGTATGTGTGTTAGTGTGTCATTAGTATGTGTATGTGTATGTGTGTACATGCAGACACTTAGTAAGTTCTTAATTGAGGACTCACATGATATAATAACACACTCAGTTGTGTATACTTGTCTATTAATATATTGTGTATTATTAATTTTATTATGTCATCTTTGTGTTACATAAACACACTGTGCAGACTATAAACTGTGAGTTAGTTATTGTGTTTATTAACCAGAT